AACAATAGCCAGCGGCTATAGCACGTACAATGAAATCAGATCAGCGGCGTTCAGCAACAACAATAATAAATCAGCCTACGGACCAGACGACCGAAGTTCGAACCCCGACAAGGGCACAGAATCTGCTTCACGCCTGAATATCTCGGTCCAATGTACTTTCACGCGTGACACATATAAAGAAGAGCAGAGTTTTGGTCAAAGGAACCTTAAGGGAAGAGACCACTCGCAAGACCTAAACGTAGATGGGAGGATTGCATTAAAATGGTCCTTATGAAAACAAGGTGTAGACCGGATTAAACCGGCTCGTGACAAGGATCAATGGCGGACTTTTGTGAAAACGGTAATGAGCCTCCATAAGAAACGGAGAACTTGACTACCTGAGCGACTATCAGCTTTCCAGGAAGGCATCTGCTCCATGGGATTTGTTAGTTACAACTGAAATATGTCGTCACCGGAATAATTTACTACAGAAGGAATATGAATGCAAACTGCTGGGGTGAGGAGACCTCGGACGCCTAGAGAAGACCTCGAGGGTTCAGGAACTGACGGTGAAGTCACATGCGCGATATTCTTCTCATATATCGTCCTTCGGAACCCTAAAGATGCTCCAAGCGCCTCTTCGGCGCTGTGCAAGGACTAGGGCTCCTTTAGCAGAGGCCGGCAGACGGGGAACGCGCTCCTAAATTATAAATGCGTTGCTGGTCCTGACAGCAGGCGAGGATGTTGCCGAGGCGACGAGAGCGAATCTCTCGGCGGGGGGCGGACGGACGGACGGACCCTCCAGCCGTATTCCGGGCACTGGAAACTATAGCTGAGTGCCTGCAATATTACGAATGAGATAATATTGTTGTCTGCTCCCGATTGTTCTCCGAAAGCCACCAAAATTTATGTTCCGCCGCGCGTACCGAGCAGTGGCGTGCTGACAAACACTCTACTCCAATTTGTTTCTCATATAACGGCGCGTCAGACATGTACTGATCATGATTCATACGAAACTGCTTCAGTGGCGTGTGATAAACTATTCATACGTCTCTGTGGTGATCAGTGGCGTGCTGACACCATAGCAACTGAACTTGTTTCTTAAATGAGCGATCAGTGGCGCGTCGCGTTCCGCACGACGTAACATCATTTTCATTCCGCTGCACCCAACAAAGACAACAACAAATTTCGTCAAAAACAAAAACTCGTAAATATCTATCCCAGTTGAACGTGCCCCACAAACGGCCGGAAGTTCAGATTCGAGACAGGTAATTACCTGAAAATCTTCGAGGTTTTACTCTGTTACTAAATAATACTGCCGGAATAGTATTTTTTGCAGTCTGCGACGTTAAAATAAATAATTCTTTTTAAATTATGTAAGGCACGAGTTCTGTTTGAACAAAGCTCGCCCAAGTAGACATATAAAATTCACTAAACATAACCTCAAAAGTTTTCGAACAAAACTCACTAAACATAACCTCAAAAGTTTTCGCTGTCCAAGTTTCGCAGTTCGTAAAGTTAAATCGGCGACGAACGACGATGGGATGTTCATTTATTGATTTTCAAAACACGCCCTGAGATGCTAATCCTCTTAGAATCCTAATGTCCCTTTATCACTAACTTGTAGGATTACAGCCGACCTTTCGCTCTTGTGTGTGTGTCCTCCAATAGGAAGACGGTTTCATTGTTGCGTCACCCCCCATTGTTAGACGGGGCGGCCGGGGTTAAATGAGATTCAGCTGAACGTGGACGTGTCACTTCATAAGAGATTACAAACTCGTAATAAATAAGTGACAAATGAGTTATGCGCCGAAAACTGAACACCCCGGAATGCGTCGGGGCATATAAAGAAGGAATGCGTATTTTATTATATTTGTAGCAGAGAACAATGCTCCATTTTGTGAGTGTATAATAGCTTCAAAATGGCTCCTACGAAATTTATAGTCGCTATAGTAATGAAGTCGTAAACCTATTTTCAGAGTTAATTGTTCATTATTCATCGGATGTAACCGATGTTTTATTTTAGTGTGTGCGTGTGTAAGAATGAGTTGGTAGCTTTTCGCAGGCGCTGCGGTCTCGCCGAACGATTTTATTAAGTTTATGAACAAGCGCACTTAACTTTAAAAAAAAATAAGTAAGAGTGTCTTAAACACTCAGA